TGGAAATATTTGAGGTCAAGTTGGACAGGGCCCTGAGCAACCTGACCTAGTTGAAGTTGTACCTTCTCATTCCAGGGTAGGATGGGCTACACAATCCTTAATGGCCCCTTAAGAACAAAAACTATTTGGTTCTATGACTGCTGTGTATGCTTTAAGGCTCACTATGTATCCAGGACACAGAGTGAAACAAAAAGTCAAATTTCTTGACAAAACAAAGAAAAAAGAACGCATCCTTGGGATAGCTAGTAATTTCAAAGGCAGAGATATCTATCCACATACCTTTATCCATACTGCTGGAGGAAAGGGGAATCTCATTAATACTGTGCTGTCTATCCCAGCTACAACGCATTAGATGATCAATGGTATTTTAGGGGCAGCTACATTCAAAAGAGCAGCAGACAGAATAGCATGAGCAGTGGTATTTGGTTCCCAAGAGAGGGCCATGTGTTACACTGAACCTCACACAGAATCTGTGTCCAGCTGTTGGAGCCAAGAATTATCACTGAGCTTACCTAGCAATAGAGTTAGCAAACTGCTGCAGCATATCTTGACTTTCCAAGACTAGTATGCATTAAAGAGAAAGGGGAAGCCCTGAAGTCTGGGAGTTGTTATTGCAGAATTTTTTGTGTGTGTTGGGGTGTTTTCATCATTTGTTTTTGTGGGTTTTTTTTCAATAGAGTGATAAAAAGATCTGCTTGGGTTTCTTTTAAAGCAGGAGCATAGGTTTATTTGGCTTGGGACAGCTTGAAGATGTGGGATCCCATGGGATTCCACAGCAAACTAATACAGGAGTTGAGCCAGAAGACGAACAGATTTTTCCATTTCTTCTTTCACAGTCATACCTTAGTTAGAACCATAATCCCCCTTTCACCATGGCATCATTCTGACCTTACACGGAGGTGTCTTCTTCCTAACTAAAAATCAGTAGAGCTTACCATACAGTAGATTTTGATCCTCTGTGCCCTGCTTTACCTGAGAAAATTAATAAAGCGGGTGATTTCCAAGTTTTGTATTCAGAGTACCTTTACATCCAGGACTAAGCTAACCCAAACAATCTGCAACTCTAAACAAGCTAAAGTAATTGCAAACCATGGGGTGAGCTGAGAGCACTGCTAACAGATGGATGCCTTTCGGAGACACTGGGGGTGCATGGTCCTGCAGCTCTCTTCAAAGCCAGATCTGTACTGAAATGAGTATGATTCACACTTTTTCAAAGGCACAGCAGAGCTGAAAGCATAGAGATTTTTCAAAAGAATCATGCCTGCAGGAACTGTCATTCTTCCCCACTGCCCTCATCAGTGCTGTCCTAAAGGAAGCACTGTTTGGCATCAGGACTGTAAATATTCCCACAAGTTCACAATTTTATTTCATCCAATGCCCTGTTCTCAGCACTGGATGAAATGCCTAGATAAAATAGCTTCAGTGAGCAAAGAGCAACAGGCACAGCCTCTCTTACTCCTTCTCATCTAAACTGCTGTTTCTACGTATTTTTTAACTCTTAACACCTATCTATTCTCCATTCCGAGAATGCTCTGATTTAGGAGAAGGGTTGTTTTTCCTGCAGTCACATTGGAAAAATATTACTACATTTGAATAGTACTTATGTGATTTAAATACATGATTAATAATTTTGGTAATCCTAAAGTATTAACAAATAGGTTCTTTCATATCATTGTGTGAAAACACTGGGAAAATAACCTTCCAAGTATAGTAGTATATTCTCCATTACTACTACCAAACCCCAGTTTTCATCACAAAAGTACTAATCCTTCCTCGGTGAGCTTCCAGAACCCCTGCCTCAAATATAATGGTATACCTAACAAATGTTCAAAACCCAGATCCCCACATACTCAATTGTACTTTACTTTCATAAATATACGTTCCATGACATCATTGATTTTAGCCTGCAAGCAGGAAATAAAAATCTAGTTGCAGAGTCCAGTTCAGTCCAAGTCAGTAAATAACACATTATTAGCCATCACAATATAATATGTACCTATCCATAGTACATTTGAAAATACGAGGCTTTTAAACTTTTTCAAGCTATCGTGAACTGTGCTTTTGATACCATTTTTAAGACAAAGATAGGTGGACAGAAATTATTTTCTAATAGTTTTTTCTAAGAACACAGAAAAAAAACCTGTGTAATTGTAACTACCTGTAATACTTTGTGTCATGCTTCACTTGGGGAAGCCACTGACTGTGTATACCAAGCTAGTACATACAGTCCTGGTTCCTTAAATTAGCATTTAATTAGGCAGATGGTCCTTTTAGCAGAGACTGTTTTTAGTTTTGTTGGCCCCACACTTCGTATTTGCAAGTGCCACACTGTTCCAAGGCTGGGTCAAGTCATTATACTTAAAACAATATAATTTATTTTGCATTTCAAATCCCACCTCATAGACTTTCAATGTTTCGTGCAACTCGGTTTGTTTGGGTTGAGGTTTTTTCTTTCCTACTGTTTTATTTCACACAGAAATGAAAATTGTGAAGAGGAGAGTATAACATGTATGACAGATACTTTATGAACAGAGGAGATAAAGTGCACGTTCTTGGGAGCAGAGACTGTCTAGGCAAAAAATGTCAATAACCTACTAAAATTCACAAGGCAGACCAACAGAAGATAACACCAAGTCTGTTTCCTGCTCCAAAGTCACCTACTAAAATGAATTTATTTTTTTTTTAGTTAAGGAAACACCAAGCAAAACTCATTCTGGTACAACAGAAGAGAAAATTATTTCCTCCTTAGCAGCATTGTTACAGAGAAAGTAGATGATGTAGTTAACGGAGGTAGGTAACAGGCTGAAAATGTCCAAGCTAAGGCTAGAAGACAAACTACACAGGACACAGCTGGCTTTGAAAAACTCATACACCTGTCAAAGATGACATTCAACTCATGCCAATCCCATGGCTATTTGCAGTCCAGGATTACACAAACATACAACTTCAATACTGCATCTGCTTAGGATGTAAAGCTGTATGTATAAGAGAATAATATCTTATTACACTTCTTGTATGAAGCAAATGAAAGTATTTTATGGCAGAAGCACTAGCAGGGGCTCAAACTTAGTACATCAATGCTTACCATGATTCTACTGTTGGTTAAAGTAATTGTACCCATTCCCAGAAGACCTTCTTAGACACTGTATTTCTTCTATAAAGTAACATCTTTAAAACTGTATCTCAACATGATGATTTCAATTTCTTATACAATTATTTACAAACAAAATCTGCTTGTCAAAACATAGATGTAACTGATTTTGTAGAACTGATACCAGAACTTATATATTCAGTTGTCTAAGAAGTCTAAAAGACAAGTACATTCAGTAATATTGACACTATGCCTTTAATGTAGGGAGCTATCTGTCAAACATTGTAATGTTACACAGAAAGTAGAAATAGAAAAATAGCCCTAACTTTACAAAGCCTACAGCTCAAAGTTTATGAGAGTGGGTTGGCCTGTGCAATCTTATAACAAACCAAATTTTCCTTGTGACCTAGGCTTAAATGATCTCATATCTGGTGCCAAAAGTCACTGCATTAAAGCCACAAGGACTCACGTGTGAAGGCTTAAGATAGTCTTTATCCAGGAAATATGACAAAGTAGCCTAAAATAAAGAGTTCAGCAGCAAAGTCAACACAAGGAAAGGCTGACACCACCTGATCCTTATGGTAAGACCCAAACAGCATACTCTGGTTCATACATACTGGATTCATTCTTCCAAGGTAGAGTTCTTCACTGATAGACATTTCAGTGGATGAAATAACTGATAGAATTAATTCTCTAAGTGCCCAAAGACTACAAAAAAATTCATCAAAATACACACTACACTTCTTTGTAAAGAACAGTAGATGGTGATAGGTATTTTATTAAAAATGAAGGCAAACACATTATTGGTGAACTTTCATGACTTTGCCCACACAAAGAAACTTGAGACAGCAAAAACAGTTTCTTACTCTAGAATTCAAATGCATTAGCCTGCCTTTTCTTGTTGAAGTGCCCTGCTTTAATTGCTTCATCCCCCTAAATATCATCAACCAAAGCACTCAAACAATGATTCCACTTTCCTTATTCATCTTCAGATGATAGTCCATTGCATGTGTTGAATAAATTGGTTTTTCTATTGAGAATAGAAGACTCCCCTCCACATTCCAAATTTTCTGTAAAATTCAAGCCCTTTTTACAAGGTATGAAGGTACTAGAGTTACCAGTGGAAAAGAGTTTTTAAAAGCTTTTCTTCAGTACAAAAAAAAAATTAAGATTTTCACAGCCACTGGAATGTCCTGAGTCAAGTTTTCCTGAAGAAGTTCATTAGAGAGTAACACTGGGTAGATAGCCAAGACAAATAGTTAAACTTTTTCAAACTAAAAAATCAACAGAATACAAAATAAGAACTTAACATAGAAAGTATAAAGCAAGACTGAATTCATATGACGATTTCTACTTATAACAGAAATGCTTTTTAACATGTTTCTTGGTTTTTGCTGGGATAGGGTCTCTTTCCTTCACAGCAGCTAGTAAGGGGCTGTGTTTTGGACTTGTGCTGAAAACAGGAATGTTTTTGTTCCTGCAGAGCAGCACTTTCACACAGTCGAGGCCTGTTTTTCTCCTCACACCACTGAGAAGTAGACTGGGGGTGTGCACAAGGGAAGGAGAGGGAGGGGACACAGGACAGGGCTCCAAGAGATATCCCACACCATATGGCATCACACTTGGCATATCAAGCTCAGGAAAGAAGGAAGCAGCAGGGGGATGTTCCAAGTCATGACGTTTGTCTTCCCAAGTCACCATTACACATGGAGTGAATGAATTCCTCGTTTTGCTTTGTGTGTGGCTTGGCTCTTACTCCCCCCTATGTCATCCCACAACTCCTCTCAGTTTTATGCTTCCAATTCTCCCCCATCCCACTGCAGGGAGTGAGCATGCATGGGGCCTCGCTACCAGCTGAGGTTAAACCACAGCAGTATGGGACTGCAACTGAAAGTAAGTATTAGCTTACCTGACCAGAAAGCGATGCAGCCCAACGTCAAAACTTCTGTAAGAAAAAAAAAATCCACCAAATTTTAATTATTAAAAAATACCACTCTGTTGAGTATTGTACAAACACTTTTTTGTTTCAAAACAACAATACCAAATATAAAGTTACTAAATTGACAAAGCAAAGAGCAAAAGTGTAACACAATTTCCTTTCTGTGATGACATGAAATTTAAGCTGGTCATAATGAAAAGATTTAGGTGCATGCTATAGAGCTCACAAATCTCTTGTTGGAGTACTTATTCAATAAAGTATTAACATTCAGAGTATTATAACACAAATAAAGCATAAAATGTGTATATATTGTTACTGGAAATAATGTAAACATCCCGGTCACCAGCACATTTTCCATCATATGCAAGTAGATCCTCCGTGCAAAACTGCTGTGGAATCTCTTTCTCCTTTTCTGCTCTGTACTGCACTAAAATGCAAGGGACTGCTGTGAATTCTCTTCATGATAAAGATTCATCAAAAAAACCCTTATGTCTCCTTCAAATATAGAATTTTCAAGAAGCAGACCCTTGCAAGTGCTCCACTCACATCAGTAAGGAAATTAGTTTTGAGGACTTCTGACAGTAAGTACAAGTTAGATCACATTAAATTACAAGAACCATGTCTGCAATCTTCAGCCCTAACAACATACACTGACAGTAGCTGTCAGCATTTCTTCCCCTTTTCTGGTTCCTCCATTCCTAAGGTAACTCAGGAGAATCAAGCACATGAACAATGTACTAGCAAGTCTTTGACACTACAGGGAAGTATCTGCTGATTTGAGACATTTACCTAATACTTGAAGTATGTGCCAGCCATATGGGACTGTCCATATAACCTGAGATTAGCTGTGTGCATAACAGCACAGGTGGAAAATGCAAGTGTCTTATTCCCAGTACTGGACTTGCTCTGGGATGGGCTTATATTTCACATACACAGAAAACATTTTGGCATATACTAAGCTCTTAAGCATTCTGTTCCAAAAAAACTAATTGGTCATTTTGAATACAACAGTTTTATTTGAATAGTACCACTTCCTGTGTGCTGCCTTCTAACTGAAAGAGCAAGATAAATCATCAGATTGTTAATGGCATCCTCATAATATCAGACAGATAATGTGCTGCAGAAATTCTAGGAGTTAACAGGGAAAGAAAGTCCACTTGTTCAGCAGGATAGAGGTAAGCAACGAATTCCTCACTGAAAAGCTAACTTGCAACAGAGAAACATCCTGCCAGAAACATGTACCTGGTGATCATTCAATCTGTATTTTTCACAACCCTTTCCTGAAATGATTCCACCTCTTATATTATTGTTATATTACTGTGCAATTAAACTGCATTAAGAGCATCCAGTTTCTGTGTTCCTCCTGCCTGGATACGTACTGTATTTTGGTTTCCTCTCTTCACTAAAATATTCTGTGTTGTACAGACACTTTTCTGTGTTGGAGCTGGACACAGTCTGTATTTTTAGCTCTGAAAACCTTTTATTCCTAGGACCAAACACTCAGAATGTTTGTGCTGGGACAGAGAGAAAAAGAAACCTGCATGGTTTCAGGAGAGAGCTATATGCAAAGCAGCCACCTTGCACATCTTCAGCCAGGCTGATCTTTTCAAGTTCTCCCAGCTGCTCTCCATGGCAATAACCAAATCTGCTACAGTCTCTGATGGGACACACACAGTGAGCCTCTTATGGACAGGGATGTGGAACATAAAAATATCACTGTTTTTGACACTGAACCAAGAGCCAAAGGACTTAGCTTACCAAAAGGATTAAAAGTGAATAGTCCTGATATCTTGAGACATTGGAGCTGAAGAAGATTGGGGTGGACAAAGCTGAGGCAGAGTGGGTTCAGACAGGGAGGAAAACAAGATAATTTGACGCAGATGCCACAACATGCTATTTTCACCTCATTTTTCACTCTTTCCAAAACATTATTTTAAAAGCATCTATATTTATGTAAAACATACATCTAAAACATTTGCTATTAGAAAAGTTTTGTTAAGTTTATTTCATAGGAGCTTTAGCTATTGGATATTTTGTGGAAATATTTTTAATAAGTATTAAAAATAAACATGCATAGAACCAATTTATTAGAATAATAGCCTCACTAGATATAATTCAGCATACATAGACAGGGCCCATTATTCCTAAATTTTATTTTGTACTGATACATTTCAACAGTCTACCCAAGATCCTGAATTCTAAACAGTGTAAACAGTCCTTTAAGATATAACTACACTGTGACCAACAGAATTTTGACATTATATAGCATCATCTGAGTGTGCAGCTAGATGTTAAAGACAACTTGAGACAGTATCATTGATTAGTTCCAAAAGCAAGAATATCAAGGATGGACAAGTTCAAATTGTAAATGGGAGAAATAGCTGCATTACTTAAGGCTATGGATATTATCTACATACACCTGGGATAATAAATAGAAATACCGTGCAAAGCACAAACACTGAAAGAAAGCATTGTGGGAGACTGGTTTGGACAAAACACTGCCACAGACACTTTTGACTATTCTTGCTGAAGAAAACTTTAAAAAATTGTTAAATACATACTGCAGTTAAGGTGACATGTGAAAATACAGTGAAGCAGGAATGGAAACATTTAGCAGATGTAATTAATCCCTCCATTCTCAGACAGAAATGTTAAGAAGGGGTAAAAGAGGATTTGTATAGCAGCTTTAAGGCGGCAACCTGGGGTGAAATAAGCAACTTCATTAAATGAAAAAAGAGAACAAATAATCACAATGTATCTGCATTAAAAATTTCATAGTGAGTCCTTCAACAGAGGAGTCCACCCATCAGGCATGGCAGTGTTCCCCACAATCAGCACAGAACAAGACCTGCCATATGCACACTGACAGGATTATCTACTGCCTATAAAATACCCTCATATTTACTTGATACCACAACAAAGTTTAAAACCAACTTCACACAGCTTGTTAAATCCTGAAGTTCCCTGAAAAATACAGGATTTAGCTCGTAGATTTTACAGTTTAGGGTGCCTCAGTTACACAAGTTCCAGAAATGCCTCGGTTATGTAAGTTTCAAAAATCCTATAATGAGCATAATTTTTCAAAATAAATAATTAAAATCTAAAATAACAAGAGAAAGGATATCCTCAGCAATATGAGTAAAACATTATTTACCAGTTAAATTCTCTATACTGCTCAAATGTCAATAGCTACATAGTATTTCAAATTTTAGAGAAATAAGTAAAATCTAGTTTATCAAAATAGCAATGGTCTTCAAACAAAGCAAAATCTTAACTAGCCAAAGGAACAATAAAAGGGAGATATACTGAACATCAGTTTCATCACCATTATAGACAGTACAGACAATTTGACAGCTATTTTCTTTATAAAAGCATCCCTAGTTCTGCTCCTCTGAAGGGCAGTTTTGGATCACAGTTCCTTCACAACTTTCATGCTTTTCTTAAGCACGGAAGCTCTAGTTTGATACAATTCAATGAAACATACATACATAACATACATGTTATATGTACAGTCCTTCATAACCAAACTTGCCTTTTCCTAGTACATCAACTACAGACTGGTGACCAATAATAAACACACACTAAACCAACAAAGACCTTTTCCAAAATATACACTCTGTGAAAGTATACCTGCTGGAGAAGAGGGATGATTGCAGGCAGAGGTTTCAAAATTATTTAAGACTTGCAGTTTCTGCTCTGAAAGCTAAATGCCTTATGCAACAACCTGTCTTCAAGTTTCAATTCAGAACAAAGATAATGGAGAAAAAATTTCAACATTTTAAGCACATAGCATCCAGTGGATTGTTTATAATCCCACTTTCCAGAAAGCTGTGCCTTCCTTTAACTGAAGTCTAAATGTTGGTTCCTCAAATGAGGAATTGTATGAGCCTCTAGTATGTAGCTTTTATACTCGATCAAGTTACAAAAATCAACTTAAAGTTAAGCCAACCACTAGAGCCATATTTTATGAAACCAATTGCAATAATTTCAATTGCTCAACTCTGATTTTGTACATCCATATCTTTTAGCCATGTGCTGAAGATAAACCAGTACAGCTTTATTTTCTGTCAGTTCCCCCCCAGGACTGCTGGGCTACACACTGTTCCTGAAAACAAAGTACAGTAAATCATGCAGTTTGCAGCATAATCTGGGAAGTATTTGGCTAACCATGGTCCTCAGAAAGATGTTCACTGCAAGCATTCAGTACATCAGCGCTCAAAATCAGATAGTAGCCAGGTTCTTACTTTGTGTCCTACCTTCAAGGGAGTAGGCCTACATAGATAATTGGCCATTTGTAAAAAAAAAAAAAATAATAAAAAAAAAATTTGTAACACAGATGGAGACAGGCAAATGTGACACTGTGTGCCCAGAGACTGCATTGTATTGTAGACAGAAATATCCCAGACTCCTTAAAACAGTCATGTTACCACTGAACATAAACAGTTCTGAATGCAGTAAGGAATGGTATAATTTCTGTAAGCAGGACAGGACTTTGCTGGAGCAAACAATAATTGCACTTAAATTGCTTCAAATCAGCCTGGGTGCCATTTATGGCAGTGATGAAATCCAACAAGTGGGTTATTTATTATAGTTTTGGCACTCTGGGTATTCAACATCTCTTTAAAAAAAGCACTGTAGGTGCTGCATGGTTTCAACAATGGTTCTTGGCCCTTTCTTTTAAAACGTGGCTGAACTTGACTAGAAAGTCAAACTCATTCCCATATCCTCAGAGTAGCCCATCCTATTTAATTGCAGAATTGTTTGCAAGACTAGCACTTCCATTAGCTGTCTTTGCAAATAAATGTGGCATTCAGCCAATGAGCTGCTGACCAAGGGTCTCTCCCACACCAGAATATTTTGCACTGGAGACTGAGGAGTCTGAATGACAGCTGCCTTCACTGACACAGCACTCAAGTTGCTTCATTGTCCCGCTTTCTCAAGCAATCCCTACAGCAGGGATGCCCAAAAGACTCTATAAAAAGAATTCCCCTTTTTTCCCAGAGGTA